CATGACTGTAGACATGCATATCAACCAATCTTAACACAAACCATGCCTGTAGGAATGCATATCAACCAAATGCAAACACATACCATGTCTGTAGGAATGCATATCAACCAAATGTAAACACAAACCATGACTGTAGAAATGCATATCAACCATATGTAAACACAGCCACGACTTTAGAATTGCATATCAACCAATCTTAGCACAAACAATGACTGTAGAAATGCATACCAACCAATCTTAACACAAACCATGCCTGTAGGAATGCATATCAACCAAATGTAAACACAAACCATGACTGTAGAAATGTATATCAACCATATGTAAACACAAGCCATGACTGTAGAGATGTAAATCAACCAAATGTAAACACAGCCACGACTGTAGAATTGCATATCAACCTATCTTAACAAAAACCATGACTGTAGAAATGCAAAAACCATGACTATAGAAATGCATATCAACCAAACGTAAACACAGCCACGACTGTAGAAATGCATAACAACCAATCTTAACAAAAACCATGACTGTAGAAATGCATATCAACCAAATGTAAACATAGCCACGACTGTGGAGATGCCCTACTTCTTCTTTAAGCTGTTCGTTTTCGTGCTGAATGGCCTCGAGTCTGTCGTGTGTCTCTCTGAGTTGGTTCGCTTTGCGACACAATTCGTCCCCTGCGAAAGACCCATTGGGTAATCGTATGGTTGATAGAATACATTGGTTAACAAGAATGTATGCTACTGCCATCTTGAAGTATATATATATATATATATATATATATAATATTCATATATATACATATACATATACATATACATACACACACACACATATATATATATAAATGTATATCTATGCACATACATACATAACAACTGGGTCCGTTTCCTGGCACCGACCTTTCGCACTGAAAAAGACGCATCAGTAGGTACAAAATATCAATACCCATCCTGATGTCTTCCACAGGTGCACTCACATACACCCATAACATAGTAGTAACCCGTGTCCTTCAGATAGACAACCTAAAAACTATAAACACACCTAGGTCCTTCCTAATGTCCGCTATACGCAGATGCAGTCTCTCAACCTCCTTGTCACGCTTAAGTGTTGTGGCGTGCTCTTGCGCTACGCATTTGTTCAGTCGCGCCTTCTCCATTTCAATGTTGTGATGTGCCGCCTCACTCTGCTGCTCGCTTTCAAATAGCCTGCGGATACACAGACATATGTTTTGTCAGAAATGTGGATATATATATATATATATATTATAACACATACAAATGCAAATGCAAATGCAAATGCATGTATATAAATATATTGTATATTATATATATATAATCATATAACAATACAATATCACGATATACATGACTGGCCATATTAATGCACACACCAAAAAAAAACCATAATCACTTATACCGCCGCTTATACACTGTACCCTCACTATAGCATAACACAGGAGAGCCGAAGATTCACACACCCTCATACGAAAAGAACGGCACCATGGGCACCACAGGCGCCTATGCCAAAACAAGGTACACACCCATGGGTGTATATGGACAGGCACAGGTGCGTATAAACACACACAGGCATACACACACCAGGGCTTAGACGTGCTTGTACATGCACCTATAACAATAGCCAGCAAGGCCCATTGAGGCCAATGACGGCGGGGGAGGATATATGAAGTAAACGTGCACACGCATGCACACATCGATTGGGCTGTATCGATGTCATTGACGAGAGTTATGTTCACAGCTGCATACTTGCTAGAGTTATGTGCACAGCTGCATACTTGCTATGTGGTATTCACGTGATACTGGTAGCAGCATGTGGAGATATACCCAGGAATGAGTTATTAAGAAAATGCCATCAAGAGGGTGATAACTAGACTACATTAGTCCATCATAGAGAGGTGAACTTGAGCGTATATGATATACACAGGCACGTATCTTGTATCTCGGACAAACCATACCTCCTCTGTAGTTCCTTGACTTCTCTCCGGAGTTCAGAAATGGACACCTCCTGCTCAGTAATTTCTTCTTTTCGGGCTTCTAGAGCCTGTAGTTCCGATACAAAGGTGTGTAAAAAAGTAACCATGTCGAATATGAAAGAAAACAAGTTATAAAACCAAGACAATGGGGAGTCAAAGAGTAACCATATCAAATATGGACCAAAACAAGCTACACAACCATGACAATACCATGACAATGGGGAGTCAAAGAGTAACCATATCGAATATGGACCAACACAAGCTACATAACCATGACAATGGGGTGTAAAACAGTAACCATATTGAAATGGACAAAAACAAGCTACACAACCAAGACAATGGGGAGTCATAAAGTAACCATATCGAATATAGACAAAAAAAGCTACACAACCAAGACAATGGGGAGCCATAAAGTAACCATATCGAATATGGACAAAAACAAGCTACACAACCAAGACAATGGGGAGTCATAAAGTATCCCTATCGAATATGGACAGAAACAAGCTACACAACCAAGACAATGGGAAGTCGTAAAGTTTCCATA